GTGAGACTCTCTCTGTAATGAGGGTCTTATGACCCAGAGAGGTGGGGGAAGATTAGAGCCCTGCTTTATGGCAGATGAAGGAGGGCAGGAGAAGGTCAGAGAGAGAGAGAGATTCTGTCTCCTGAGGCTTATTCTTGAGGCCTAAAGCACCCAATGTAATTACAAAAGGCTGTAACAAGGGCTGTGGGAGTTATTAGCCAAGAACCGTGGATGAAAACCAATATATATGTGAGTATCATAATACCACAGGCAGATACCCAGAAGTGGAATAGCTTGATCATATGGCAGTTCTATTTTTAATTTTTTGAGGAACTGCCATAGTGTTTTTCCACAGTGGCTTCACCATTTTATAATCCCACAACAGTGCACAAAGTTTACAATTTCCCTACATTCTCACTAATGATCATTGTTTTCTGGTTTTTCTTTCTTTTAAATAGTAGCTATCCTAATGGGTGTGAGATGGTGTAGGCTTCCTTTTAAAGTCTAAGTACATCTGCAAATAGGTATAAGCCCCTGGCTGTGGGTCTTCAGCCTGAAAGGCAGCCAGGAGTGCTGAGATGAGCTTCTGGGATTCGTTCCCTGGCTGCTCTCTCGTCTCTACCGGGTCCCCTACTTGCTCCTCGCAGGGCCGCAGACCGCTGTAGAGCAGCTTCGGTGGTGTGGAGTCTCAGGATGCCTCCTGCCTGGCGCTGAGCAATGTTCAAGACGAGCTGTGAACGCTGCTCTCTGCTCATCCCCAGCAGCCCTGGCGATTTCTCCGGGTTAGTCTGTGGGTTGTCTCTCCACGCTCCTGTGCGTCCAGCTCCTCCCTGAGCTTCAACAGCTCACAAAAGGCAATTGGGGTTTACTTAGTTGCAGGATACAGAATAGCATAAGGGCATCAGTCATCTGACTGAGTTATAAAACAAAATAGAGAGTGAGGACAGATTGTGAGGACTCCTCGTAGAGCCAGCTGACGCCGAGGAGCGAAGAACACCTGGCAGGCCCCTTCCCCCAGCCACATACCCCAGCACATCGGCCCATCGCCCCTGGAGTCCAGCTTTGTTCTTAGGGAGCTTTGGTGTGGCCTTGGATCATTTCCTCCATATTGCAGACAATTCAAAAAATATTTCCAAAAACCTCCTTATATGTAGGCTGATGGAAGGGAAGCTATGACTTAAACATGTTAATTTCACAATTAACTGTTTTGCTTGGCAAGTTGGTAAACCTCACTCTGTTTTCTCAGCTGTAAAATGAAGCTATTGGACAAAAAAAGCTAAAGGGCCCTGTGAGCTCTAAATAATTTTAATTCCAAAACTTTGGATGATCCAAAAAGCACTTCCTTTTAGTTGTAGAAATGTTTTTTATGTATACATTTTTTTTTATCTTGGACATGTTCACCCCATAAAATTTTGCACAGTCTAATGTTTAAATAAGTTAGTGTTTTCTAAATATAACTCAGGCAGAACAGGTCACTTGGGGTTATGCTGGCTGAATTTCAAGTAATCCACGAAGTGGATAGTTCACATCTGGTCGAGCATTGGAAGGCTCCAGCCAGTCTTTAAAAGGTCTGAGAGTCAAAGCAATTCTGTCTTATTTTGCCCAGAATGGCAACCTCATTAATATGGAGTAAATTTCTGAAAGCTTAGAGTTGGATGTTTATTGCTGTTTGTTCTCAGCCAGGAAACTGTAAATTTGTGTGTCTGCATTTGCAGAGAGCTATGACTTCTGTCATTTGCCCTCTTATCCGTCAATTTTTCTCTTCTAAAAGCACACACAAAAATGTCACTGGATTAAATGTAAATAAAGAAAGCCACCTCAGAAATAAATGTATCAAGTGTTGCTCAGTGCTACTCATTGGCTATAATTTCCCATCTTTCACTGCCTTTTACTCACTTACCATCAATTTCACATTGCAAACAATGTAAAAAGAGACAAAATTCAGAATTGTCATCATCTTCCATGGTATTCCCACGACTGAAAGGTAAAGAACCTGTTAATATTATGGACTGGGAGCTGTTTAAATGGCTTTCCCAGCCTGCTGAGAGTTATTTCAGGATGCTAAGTCAAGAAGAGTAAAATCTGGAGTCACCCAGATGTTCATCTCTGGCACACCTTTTAATTGATGTCATCGGGCATTTCTTAGAGAGTCGAGTAAGCCACTGTCCTTCCACCAGTCACGTTCATTTTTGTCAAATTTTTTAAAAAATGAAAAATATTACTTTATTAAAAATAATCCTTCATACCTATTCATTCACTCATTCCATGTTCTGGCTAAACTTTAAAAATAAAAAATATGCTGCCCATGATTTGATGTGTGTGTGTGTGTATATATATATATATATATAGTTTCGATGTGCCAGTAGTTAGCACACACAGAAGAGAATCTCACAGATAATTCTCAATTTTTAAGCCCCTACAGCTCTACTAGGCATTGCCCTAGCGAGAACTCTCCACGGTGACCCTCTGGTTAGGTTATGTGGCTGCATCTTTGGAAACACCCGCATGGCTCATGCACTCTGTGGGCCAGCAAAGATGGCACTGCAAGGTTTACTGTTTGTGTCTTTCAGAGGGGCAGCCACTGCATCTTACACCACACCTGGGTCAGAAGAGGGCTGCATCCTTAAGGCAATGCTAGGGTGAGGGCTCACTGGGCCCCTACTTTGAAATCATCCTGCCCTTAAGCCCTTTGAACTCTGGGCCTGTGATGGAAAGGTCAGCATTATTGATCTACAAAATGTCTTCTGAGTCATTTTCCCATTGTCTTGATGAATAGCCCCTGGCCAATCCATGCTAATCTCCTTATCAAATGGTGGTTTGGCCACAAGCCTCGCCTAGGTGTTCTCTTCCAAACACTCTTTCTCGTTTGTTACAATATAGACTGTCTAAGGATTTTGCAAATCTTTAAGTTCTGCTTCCCTTTTGATTAAAAATTCTGTCTTTAAATTGTTTCTCTCTTTTTGTATTTTACTATAAGTATTCAAAAGAAGCCATGCTGTACCATTGACACTTTACTCAGAAATTTCTTCCACCAAATAATCCTATTTTATTGCTCACAAGTTCTGCTTTCCAAAAACATTAGGACACCACATGATTCAGCCAAGTTCTTTGATACTTTTATAATAACTTTCCTTTATAATAAGCTTTCCTCCAATTTCCAATACATTCCTCATTTCCATCTGAGAACTCATCAGAATGGCATTTACCGTCCATGGCCATATTTTTACCAACATTCTGATCATAACCACTTAAGTATGCTCTAAGAAGACTGAGGCTTTCTCTACAGTTTCCTCTTCCCCTTCTGAGCCCTCAACAGAATTGCCCTTAACAGTCCATTCATGGCAATGTAGGTTCTTGATCATGAACTTCAAAATTCTTCCAGCCTCTACTCATTACCCAGTCTGAAGCTGCTTCCACAATTTGCCTATTTGTTACAACAGCACCTCCATTACTTGGTGCCAATTTTTGTCTTAGCTCATTCAGACTGCTATGAAAAAATATTGTAGACCGAGTAGCTTATAAACAAAATTTATTTCTCACCATTCTGGAGGCTGAGAAGTTCAAGATCAAGTCACCCACAGAATTCGTGTCTGGTGAGGGCTCACCTCCTTCATAGACAGATGTCTTCTCACCGCATCTCCACACAGCTGAAGGGGCTAGTTAGCTCTGTGGAGTCCCTTTTTAATAAGGACACTAATCCCATTCATGAGGGCTCTACCCTTATGACCTAATCATTTCCTAAAGGCCGTATCTCCTAATACCATCACTTTGGGGTTAGGATTTCAACATATGAGTTTCAGGGGGATAAAAACATTCAGACCATAGCAGAGAAGGATAAGTTTGGCTTTTTATAATGACTACCAGAACATCACTACTGAACTTCCTGGCAAGGGAGTGCCAGAATCAGAGAGGTGGAGCCCCCCTTTGGAACTTCTGAGTTTAAGAACATACTACTGAGCTGAGATTTAAGGATCAAGAAGCTGCCACTGCAATTGCTTCTTGATGCCTGTGTAGCTAATCTCTGGACACAGGACACAGTTGCAGAAAATCTTGATAATTCTGTTACCATGATTGTCAACAGGAACAGTTAAGAACACAAGAAATGGAAAACACACACACACACACAAAAGAAATAGTGCTTGCCTCTTCTGCTTTCTAAATCTTGCATAATGCATCAGATTGATGCAACTTATTTCACACTCAGAACCAGCTGCAAGGGAGCATGAGAAGAAGAAAATTTGTTAAGCCACTAATAATCATTAATTATTGTTGTAATTATCACATAGGCAAAGCATAGAATATAATGACAATGTATCTTAGTTTGCAGAGGTCAGAGACATTTTTCTCCCTTTATTTGCACAACAAATTATACATTCTATTCTATACTTTGCCTTTTCCATTTAAGAGAATATCTTGGATATTATTCTGTACTATCATATAATGAGCTTTTACTTTTTTAAATAACAGCAATGTATTCTATGCTATGGATGCACATAATTTATTTTAACCATTCTCCTCTCAGTGGACATTTAGGCAGTTTCCAATCTTTGGTTATCACAAATAATGCTTCAGTGAATGACCTTGTGTTTACATAACTTCATGTGTGTACAGATATATCCATAGAATAAATTCTTAAAAGTAGAATGGTTCAGGCAATGGGCATGTTGTGTGTAATGTTTTAAAGAAAATATATTTTATTTTATTTATTAATTCATTTTCTGAATAGCTAATACATGGGCATCATTAAAAATTAAATAAAAAGGACCAAAAATGTAGATAATAGAAAGTTGATTTCCTTCATATTCCTTTCCATAATCCATCCAGAAATATCCTATGCATAGAATCCTGTGCATAGACACATGCATATATATACACACATATATCCATTCCCACACAACATATGAACAAATACATTAATATGTAGGAGAATTTCTCTTCTTTGGGCCAATTTTTATTTTTTCTTTTATTTTGGTCTCTGGGGGCCGAGGAAAGTTTTGTCAAGACACAGAGAGACCCCAGGCTTCAATGTATCATTTGTGTTAGAAACATCCTTTATTATTGTCCCATCATTTCATTTCTATTGTCCACCCCTGGGCTTTTGCCACGCCTATGAGTTACTCTAGAGGCAAGGGCAGCTATGATTATGGGCCCTCCATGGTCCTTGGCCTCAAATTTTCTACCAAAACCTATGCTTTGTGTACAGCAATCATCTTGGGAGCCACTGTCTCCATAATGACAGATTCTCTTTGCCTCTCTTCTGTGTTAAATCTCCTGTTTCATGTGGCCCATATATTTCTCCTTCTTGGTTTACTTCTTTCGTGTGATGGAACACATTCTCCAGTAGTTTTCTGAAAAGGGGTATGTAAAAGGTAAATTTTTTGAGATCTTAGTTATCTGAAAATGTCTTTATTCTACCTTCCTATTAATGGGTAAAGTGACTAGATATGCAATTCTAGATTAAAAATTTTTTTGCTTCAGAATTTTCAAGGTTTTGCTCCGCTGATATCTAGTTTCAAGTGCTGCTATTGAGAAATCTCACACTATTCTGATTTCTGGTATGTGACCAGTTTTTTGGTAGGATTTTTTCTTTGTATCGAATAAAATTTCATAATGATATGCCTCTGTGTGAGTCTAATTTTCATCCTTTTTCTTGGCCTCCAGTAGGCCCCCTACGGTCTGGAAACCCTGGGTAAATTCTCTTGAAATATTCATTGTTCTTCTTTCTCCTTTGTTATTTAGATATTGGATCTCTTGACTGGGCTCTACTTTTCTTATAATTTCTCTCCTATTTTCCTTCTTTTGGTTTTTTTGCTCTATTTTCTAGGAAATAATCTCAACTTTATATTCAAAATTTGCTATTTTTTTAATGCTGTTATCATGTTTTCAATTTTTAAGAGCTTTTTTTGGTTCTTTGAATTTTTTTCCATAGCACTCTATATGCAGAATCTTATCTCCTTAAAGATATTAATATACTTTAAAAAAATTTGGTTTATTTTTTCTAAAAAAGGCTCTTTCCTCTAAATTGCTTTTTTTTTTTTTTTTTTCTGTTTGTTTGCTGTGGTCTTTATCATTCATTCACGTCTTCCCTCGGGTGTCTGGTAATCCCTGGTTGTCTGTTAATGACTTAAAGTAGGGAACTAATTTAATCAGCTGTTGGAAATGTTCCATATCCTGGCAGAAGTGTGAGTTACAGGGCTGTATGCATTTGTCAAAACTCTCAAACTGAATACGTATGATCTGTGCATTCCACTACTATATAAATTATACCTCAAAAAAGAGTCTACTTAAAAACAAAAAACAAGTGAGCAATGAAAACACTCGAAGCTCCAAGAAAGTAAGTAGGACTTACCAACCTAGAGGTTTACCTTTGAAATATCTGGGTAGACCATCTGCTGGTACAGAACCCAGCCCTCAGTGGGGCCTGGTATTCCTCATCCCTGACACCCTCTTTTTCCTCCACAGTGAATAAACCTCCAGACTCTGTTAGGATGGAGGAGGGCAGTTCCCCAGCAGTGTGGAGAGAAGGAGCTCTAAGCACCTCTCTGCTTTTCAAGCATCTTTTGCCTAATCCTTGTAATTTCAGCATGATGCCCCTTCACCATAGCTCCCGCATGACCCCATACAACCTTCTAGGAATGTTTGAGAATCCTGCAATGTAAATTGATATGTTTCTTTGCTTTCCTCACTGCCACCATCCAGCTTGCCACCATCCAGCTTCTGAAATATTGTTGTTCTTGTTTCTTTTCTTGTTTTCTCAGCCACAAAGGGTTTATGTCTTTTAAAAAAAAAAAATATATATATATATATATATCATAGGTTTTCAGGGGGAAGCAAAGTTAGATGTGTGCATTCAATCTACTATCCTAACTCAAAAGTCAAGAAATCAGCAATGTGGTTTTTAAGTCTACAGCTTCTGTAGTATAGGAAGGCCATCTATAAGGAGTTTGGAATAGATGCTAAAAATGACTCACCAAAGCTATCACGGTCCACCCCTTTGGCCAGTTAATAACTCTATACACTCTTCTATCCATACTTTAATCTCTAAACAACAATAGCAATCTAAATATGCTTTCATCTAACAAAATGCAATGATCCTTCATGCAAATGAAAACATGCTCATTATCTCTCCAAAGGGGAAATTAAAAAGTCTCCTTCCTTGGAGTCTTCTCTGAGTAATGTTCATTCTTCTAGTTTAGGAAAAATCTCTTCTGGATATCCTACAACCTGAAAGTAAATTATAAAATTAACTACCACTGGCACACTTTATATGAAATAGTAAGAAGGGGTGGGCAAGGACTGGTTATAACATATAATCATGTGTGTGTCAGGAAGAAAATAGTCCTTGTTTCTGCAACTGGTCACAAGGCCATAGTTGGTATTCATAACTTCCTTCCTTTGAACGAGCAATTCAGCTATTTGGAGATCATTTTGTCTGTTAATTTAATTATTGGCAGGGCTAGACATTTTGGATTGCCAAGAAGAAAATTTAAAATAAGTCTTCCCTATTCTTTGTTATTTTCAAATGCAGCTCTCCAGTCTTTTGGCATTGAAGAGATACTTTTGCTATAATCCGTTCTTATGAAACGAGAAAAGCAAATAGGGCTATGTGTTGCACTTTTGAAAATTCCAGCTTAGCAGCTGAGCACCATTAGAAAGTTAAGCCAATGTGGGTTTATTTATTTATTTTTAATTAATTAATTAAATAAATTTATTATTTAATTTATTATTTAATTTAATATTTATAATTTAAATTATTTAATTTATTATTAATTAAATTAATTAATTTAATTTAATTAATTAATTTAAAGACAGAGTCTCACTCTGTTGCCCAGGCTGGAGTGCCAGGGCATCAGCCTAGCTCACAGCAACCTCAAACTCCTGGATTCAAGCAATCCTTCTGCCTCAGCCTCCCGAGTAGCTGGGACTACAGGCATGCACCACCATGCCTGGCTAATTTTTTTCTATATATGTTTTTAGTGGCCAGTTAATTTCTTTGTATTTTTAGTAGAAACGGAGTCTCGATCTTTCTCAAGCTGGTTTCTAACTCCTGCCCTTGAGCGATCCTCCCATCTCAGCCTCCCAGAGAGCTACGATTATAGGCCTGAGCCACTGCACCCGGTCTGGATTTATTGATTGATGGGAGGAAGATGGGCATGGTAAGGTGGCTGTTTGTCACCCAAGCTGAGAAGCCTGACCTGTGTTTAAGAAAGCCACCAACCTCGATCCAGAGGTGGTCAGCAGGGGTAACAGCAGGCAGAATTAAGGTGGTCCTCAACAAGCAGTTTGGTGAGGGTAATAAAATTCACTTCTGGGTCCTCCTTCCTCCCTCATCAGCCCCAATTTTCCCTTCCCTCCCAGCCTGTATTGCATTTGTACCTATCTCTGCTAAAATACACAGTTTATAACATGTCAACTGATAAAAAGATTGGTATAACCCCTTCAAGGGATATTTGCATTTCAATAGAGGATTCATCAAAACTGAAAAGATTTCAAAATTAAAAAGAGGAGAACTTTATTGGTAGAATAACAGATGGTGGAATTAATATGCCCCACCCCACCTGGTTTTGAACAGAAGGTCCCACTAGCCTATAAAACCATTCCACTGAATCGATCTGTAATATAGATTGTAATTAATGATGGGGGCAGGGTTATATCCACATCTCCTGCCATTCAGGACACAGAGCTCTAGGCTTTCAACACAGGTTACATCTCAGGCTATCCAACTATCTACCAAATTCATACCTGGTCACTAGGAGAACTGGTTCAGGAAACTAATGGCAATTTTCCCAGGTCAGTTTCATCTGGCAATTTAAGAACACTTCTTGGTGCCATTTTCACGTTGAGAAATTCTTCAGCAAGATTGACTTGAGAAACCAGTACATTATAGGTGTGAAGTAGCATTCAACATTAGGCATTTTCCAGGGAAGAAAAGGGCAAATATTGAGTAATGCCCTAGATTCCAAGGCCCAGAAAAAGGAGTGGTGAAATGTAAAGGACTACTTTAGGTTTGCATTAGGGGTGGGAGGTGGAGGACGCCTTTGGTGCTCCCTGAAAAAACTAAAATGCACACCTCATCTATGCCTTGGGCAAGTCAAAGGATGTCTCCAGCCCTTAGGTTCAGAATCCACTAATTTGGAGTTTGTGATCTTTTGACTTTGCCTTTGCACTAGTAATGAGAATAAGATTTATTAAATACACTCATGTGTTGCTTAATGATGGGGATACATTCTGAGAAATGCATCATTAGGCTATTTTGTTGCTGTGCAAACAGGATAGAGTGTGCTTACACAAACCTAGATGGTATAGCCTACTACACACCTAGGTCTATTGCTCCTGGGCTACAAACCTGAACAGCATGTTACTGTACTGAATACTGTAGGCAGTTATAACACAGGGCTAAGTATTTATATAGCTAAACATAGAAAAGGTACAGTAAAATACAGCATAAAAGATAAAAAATGCCCCCATAATACGCTTAAAAAAAAAAGATAAAAAATGGTACACCTGTATAGAGCACGTACCGTAAATGGAGCTTGCAGGACTGGAAGCTGCTCTGGGTGTGTAAGTGGTGAGTGTATGTGAAGGCCTAGGACACTACTGTTCACCACAGTAGACTTTATAAACACTGTATACAGGTTATACTAAATTTTTTTTAAAATTTTCTTTCTTCAATAATAATTTAACCTTAGCTTACTGTAACTTTTCTATTTGATTAAACAAAATGTTTTTTTTTTAACTTTTTGACTCTTTTGTGATAACACTTAGCTTAAAACACATTGTACAGCCCGAGCGAGGTGGCTGCTCAAGCCCAGCCTGAGCTAGAGTGAGATCCCGTCTCTACTAAAAATAGAAAGAAATTAGCTGGACAACTAAAAATATATAAAAAAAATTTGCCAGGCATGGTGGTGCATGCCTGTAGTCCCAGCTACTCGGGAGGCTGAGGCAGCAGGATTGCTTGAGCCCAGGGGTTTGAGGTTGCTGCGAGCTAGGCTGACACCACAGCACTCTAGCCCAGGCAACAGAATGAGACTCTATGTCTCAAAAAAAAACAAACAAACAAACAAAAAAAAACACATTGTGCAGCTGTACAAAAATATTTTCTTCTTTTATATCCTAATTCTAAAAGCATTTTTCTATTTAAAAATTTATTTAACTTTTTAATTTTTTTCTATTAAAAATTAAGATATAAACACACAGATTAGCCTAGGCCTACACAGGGCCAAGAAGATGTGTCTTCCACCTCCACAGCTTGTCCCACTGTCCCGCTGGAAGGTCTTCAAAGGCATCACCCCAAACACATGAGTAATGCATTGCACTGTGATGTCACAATGGCTATGACCTCACTAGACAATCAGAATTTTTCTGTTTCATTATAATGTTATGGGACCATTGCTGTGTACATGGTTGGTGACCCACATGTAGTTAGGCAGGAAATGACTGTAATTGACTAAGAGGAGAAGTTTTTAGGAGGAAATAATGAAACCATTTTAGAGAATGAGCTCTTTTCACAGAAATAAGTGACACACTACATGAAATGAATGGTGCTTACCTGTTAATTATAACAGGACTAGAAGGCCCTTCCCTTGAAATATTTTATTAAACCTCGTTACTCTAAGTGCTCACAACTAATTGTGTTACACCTCTATAGCTGAGTTTATAATTCATACTTGTCCCCCAACAAGCAGTTAAAAAAGGGATTTTACAAAAAGCTATTAGGTGAGACCACACACCAGAGTCCAGACTGAAGAAAACCCTGGATCCTTGCTCAGGAAGACAGTCGTGAGCTCTCTGAAAGCGGCAGTAAAAAGCTTTCAATAGGAAGGAAGCAAATGACTTAGGTAAAGTATTTGGATAGTCCGTCAAATAACAAACCAGAGGAAATTGTGGGGTGGGTCAGGAAAAAGGTTAACTGAAAAGACTTTCAAAGTGATGTAAACAAGCTGATTGGAGTAAGTGTACTTGTGTGTGGTTCTGGCTTGCCATGAGCTGGATGTCTGAGAGAGAATGGACAGTGTAAGAATTCAAAAGACCCAGGGAAATCTGTGCTTTTGATAGCTTTGGCTCATTTTGTGACCTGTTAATCTTCCAGGGAAGGTTGGCTGTGGATAAACTAACTACAGATGTCTGAAGCAGGTTTACCCTGAAACTTGCAGATAGGAGACACATTAACCGCAGCCCAGCCGCATAATGGGGCGGGAACCTATTCTACTGTATGGCAATTCTGCCAGTAATACCTTCTATTATCTTGGTCTAAGAAGGTTTCACACTGCAACTTAAAAGATAGGTATTTGCTTTAGTTCAGTTTGAAAAATATACCGGTTAGTACCTTTAGCTACAAGTTTGGTTTAAAAAGGTGAAGTCAAAACAAAACAAAACAGAACAGAACATTGTAATTGTATCTATCTAGGTGGATGTTTTGCTCATAGGATATGAACATATAGATGTTTGTCACCAAGCTCTGTGCCAAGGAGGCCTGGCAGAGAAGAGACTGAGAGAAACCAGGGCACTGGCTTGTCAAAATATTTACTCAAGAAATATGTTTAATAACTAAGGGGAAGTGTTTTTGTTCACTTTTCAGATCCAAGAATTTCAATTCATTTCTATTATGAAAACAACTATTGATAATATGGAAATGAACTCAATTATGCTAATTGCATTTTTAAAAAGATTTAAAATGTGTGATTTTTCACTTGGGATGTTTTATTTGGCCCTCAAATTTTATACCAACCTACTTGTCCGGCTATTCACAAATGTCTCTCCCCGGATAGACTGGAAGCTCTTCGAGGGGTAAATTTCCGTCCTCATAACCCTCAAGATGCTTTGCTCCCTCCCTTCCCTGGAAATCAACCTGGACAGTGCTTTGATGCTGCCAGTCCTAGAGACAATGTTTTGGTATAAGAAATTGCTGGAAGGCAGCAAGAATCCCAAATAGCAAAAATAAGCTGTTATCTCAAATTATCACTTAGACATTATGCTTGTTACACTGGAAGTCTTGAACCATTTGCAAGAAATTATAAGGAAAACACACAAGTATCCAAGTCTTCATGGGAGCCTGCCAAGGTGCAGATGCAAAGAAGGCCTTCTTTGTTTCCTGCCCCCTCACCACTGCTTAAGACCTCTGCTAATAGATGCCGCAAACCTGGAAATGGTCACCTCCACAGGCTGTGTGTTTTGGAAAGCACTCTATTAACACCACTGTCTCTGGAACATCAAGGAAATAAATGCATTTCAAAAACAGCCCACAAATAAATACAGTCATGTACTCTTTCGACTGCTTGAATCATTTTCAACTTGGAAATAGAATCAACGGATGCCAATACAGAAAATTGCACCATGTTCTGAAATGGCGCAAATCAGATCAGGCACAAATCTGAAGAGTTTGAATGGCTTTCAGGACCTCCAGCTGATGATCCCAGAGGAAGCCAGGGCCATCTGGAAGCCCAAAGACAACTCTATCAGGTAAACAGAACTGTTGGAGTTAATTATAGCAGTAAATAGAGCTCAGAGCACCTGACTTGTAGGCGCTATGCCGAATGGTACTTATTCTCTCTTGTTGATGCCTGGCAAACCTGGCTGTGTGGCTGTTTCGTTAGGAAAGACAGTAATTTTATTTTCTCCCTCTGTAGTCAGAGTGACTGTTTAAACAACATTTGGAGGAGAACTGGTGATGCCAGCAAGCTCCTTCAATATCTCCAGCTTAATTTTCCTTGGCTATGAAGCTCCTTGCTCCCCAATACCACCACCTTCTTTCCCCGGCAAGAGCCTCATGATGCTTCAAGTCTGGCTCCCTCCAGCCTTGCTTTCCCCTGATGCTGCCTGAGTGGTCTGGAAGCACCATTCTCATGTCACTCCCCCAGCAGGGAACGACAAGAACTATCCCCTAGTGCAGTGGTTTTCAAAGTGTGGTCCTTGGACCAGCAACATCACCTGGAAACTTCTTAAAGATGCAAATTCCTTGTCCTCACCTCAGACCTACTGAATCAGAAGCTCTACCCCTTAACCTTCACCTCTTTCTGCCTGAAATGTTGGCACAATGTTTTCAGAGGTATTTCCATCTGCCATCTTGCAACCAGGAAGTCACAGCAGGAAGAACAAAATCTGTGGTAAAGATGGCTGAGAGCAGCCTGCCCTGCGGGCATGGTGGTGCCAGACTAGCCCGGGAACAACTGAGTCTGAACTTTCTGATTGACAAGAAAAATAAACCCCTTATTCTTTCAGCCATTTATTTCTGCATTACGTGCAACCAAACATATTTTCTCATATAACTCCCTCAATTTTTTTTCCCTCTGTGGACTCAGTTTGTGCCCTATTGGACCCTCAATCCTTTTATTTAATATTTTTTAAAGATTCCCTTTCAGATTCCATCATAGTATTTCTTTCTATTTTTTAAGAAGTAACAAATTAGCCTGCTGCAATGGCTCTTGCCTGTTTTCCTAAGCACCCTGACCGGCCAAGGAGAGAGGATCACTTGAGGTTAGGAGTTTAAGACCAGACTGAACAAGAGTGAGACCTCAAGACCCTGTCTCTACAAAACATAGAAAAATTAGCCGGGCATGGTTGTGCCTGCCTATAGTCCCAGCTACTCAGGAGACTGAAGCAAAAGGATCGTTTGAGCCCAGGAATTTGAGGTTACAGGGAGCCATGATGATGCCATTGCACTCTAGCTGTGGTGACAGAACGAGACTCTATCTCAAACAAACAAACAAACAACAACAAGAAACCCCAAATTTATCCATAGGTATATCTTATATTAAACTTAAATTCAGTAAGAAAATGTAATTTATTACAAAAATGACCTGATATTTTATCATTTTCCAGCTGAAGCAAACTATAGTGATCACCTAGTCACTGAACACTTTATTACTACCTGAAAAAAGTGTCTTGTTTATTAGTTTACTTGCTTGTTGATTATATGTCTCCCTGTAGAATAGAGCTCTACAAGGAAAGGGATGTTGTCATGTTCTTCACTATACTGTCATCTTCTAAAGCAGTGCCTGCCACATAGGCATATAAATGTCTAATCAGTGAATGAATGTGATTATCTAAATTTCCCCAATGGACAAGGAAATTGAATCTCAGCGAGATTATAGTTTATCCAGCACCACAAATCCATCCAACCATTTGTGACCTATAAAGCTGGTTATTTCACTGGTTCAACCTACGGGTAGCAGAATGGAGATGAGAGCCAAGGTTTTCTTATTGGCCCAGGGCTCTTTTCATTGTAATATACTGACAATGGGTTATGATTCAGATTACAAAATGATTCTTCATTAAAGGAATAATTTACCATATATTATGGTTTGTACTCCTGTATGCTTAAAATAGGGTTCAATTAATAAAAATGTCATTTATACTCAACTTTCCAGAAGGGAGAAGGAAAGGAAATTGAAATTTCTTGAGGGAGAGCTAGGCACTTAACATGTGCTATTACACTGAATCCTCACAAGAGTTCCATTTCACAGATGACAAAATAGTGTCAG